ACCGTTAACCGACAAGATTATTTTAAATTAGAATTGAATTAAATTAGAAAGGATAAGTGTCTGTGACCCGTTAAAAAATACTAGCATTTGTTTTCCGGGGATTAATTTTACATGCGCAAAAAGCAGCAAACAACAGAACATGAGGATTCACGTGGTCATCATATCACACCACACACCTGCAACGCTTCTGCGAGCGGAGAAAAACATACTAAAACTAGGCTATATATATATATATATAAATAATAATAATACAACCAATCTCATTGTACACATTAGAATCGGATTCTACTGCAACTTTAAAGCTTTTAAATACATTACACTACATGCTGTTTATTTGAATTGAATATCACTTCCAAAACACATTTTTGACCAACATCACAATATCAGAATCAGGAAAAAATAGCTTTATCGAAACTTACAAAAACCAAATATGTTTCAGAAGTCCCAAATGTACAGATTACTCAACTAGCTGGCGTTTGGGACAGACTTTTTCTATCAACTTCTGCCGTCAATTTGTGCGTGCTAAAATTTGTATTTCTCTCAAAAAATAATAATAATAGTCATTTGCACCAAAACTCTGTGGTTCTAAATACCTAAATTTAATACACAGAACTCTACACAGAACTAAAATGACTAACGTTGCTGCTACAGTTTGATGTCAATCATACAATCATCTTGGCTCCACCTACTGTATCTGATTGGGTCAATCCATCCGTGACACTCATCTGCTAAATTTATTTGTAACCGGATCCCAGGAAATTTGGAAATGCTCGTCCGCTTCGGTTTATTGTCTTTTGCATAACTGTAGATAATGTAAGCAGTACTTTTGAAAAACAAATGTATATTTTTGTCCCAAAAAACAATGTAGTCTACAAAAAAGATTAATGGATAAAATAGGACTAACTTAGTTGCATTTGTCTCAGTCTCAGGCTGAAAATGCACCATTCTGATCTGTATGCAAACCTTACAGTTCAAAGAATGCTTGAGGAAGCTGAATGAAGGTCGAAGAGAACATGAAAGCTTCTCAAAAATCTGACACACCAAGGAGAATAAAGCAGCAGGAACCAATAATGTGTGTTAAAGCAGCATGTCTGCGGTTTGTAAATGTACTCTAGGATGTTATTTTTATGCAGTACTGCTAATACTGAGTGTCCACAGCATGTGTTCAAAAGTTGGTAATCTGACGTGGACTTCAAATGACTAAGGTGCTATCAAACAGAGTTTCTTCATGCCTGCTCTAGTCATTGGTGGTGTTTTTTTCTGTCCTGTGCTTGGATTAAAACCCGAACATCCATGAAGATTGTCAAATCAACGGAAGATAAAAATGTCCTTAGTGCACACTAGCCAGTGTTATTTGTGAGTTAACTTAAAGGGAGTGCTTCATTTGGACCATGTCCAGTGCAGAACCATTGCATGCTGTTGTTTGGATGAAATCACAGGAAAATACTTTCTGTGGTATTTTCCAGAATGTTCCATCTGCGGAGAACCCCAAAGACTCTCTCTGCTCTTAATACTGACAAGATTCGATGAAGGACACCTCCTCCTGGTTGGTCATCTCTCTTCAGTGTGTTGCTTTGAGAGAGAATTTGCATGAATATGCTTCATGAATCTTGATTGACTAACTTATACTACGGAGCAACCTTTCTGAGTTATACAATTAAAAATTATTGCAAATGATCAAGGATGCCATTCAATAAACGCAAATTCCATCACTGTTTTGGATGATGGTTTGTGGCTTTCTTTCCAGAAAAACTCAGTGGATGTTCTGCATAGGGAATCTGCATGTCCTGGCTGTGGTGAAAGTGAGAGGAATTAAGTATCATCTGTATAAAAATGGAGCAATAACAGAGAAGCTAGAACACTATGTAATAACATCATCTTAGATCTTAGGGTCCTTCAGACTAGTTCAGGGATAACTTGTTAAAGCTGGATGTTTCTGTTACCCATGCAACCCTAAAGGTCATTAATAATTGTGGGACTACAATAGCAGCTTCTAGAAATGTACTGCAGTTCAAAAGTTTGGGGTTGGTGAGATTTTAAAAGTTTTTTTAAATTTTTTTTACTCATTCTTATGCTTACCAATATTTATTTGATCAGAAACACTGTAAAAACAGTAACCGTTCTTTATTTTAATATATTTAAAAATGTAATTTTTTCCTGTGATGGCAAAGCTGAATTTTCAGCCGTCATTACTCCAGTGTTCAATCTCTCATGATCCTTCAGAAATAATTTTTTGGTGCTGAAGAAACATTTATTGTTACCATCAATGCTGAAAAAGTTGTGCTGCTTAATATTTTTGTGGAAGATGAATAGAAAGTTTAAAAAGACTGGCACTTACTTGAAATAAAAATCTTTTGTAACATTAGAAATATCCTTATCGTTTTTTTTTTTTTCTCTTTATAAAAAAAAAATTTTTTTTAAATTACAGTCTGCAAACTTTTGCACGGTACTGTATGTGTAGATACTGATCCAACAAACTGCATGCATTTTTTTTAATTTGGGCCAGGTGCCGAAAATAACAGCTAAGAACACAACGTAAACCACACTTGATCTTTGTGTCCGTCAGACTGCTTCAGGATAAAGGGCAGAAATTAGTTGGGCCTATTCTTTTAACAGTCAGAACACTCATTAACTGCAAAAGGTAATTTTAAAGGGGTCATATGATGCGATTTCAATTTTTCCTTTCTCTTTGGAGTGTTACAAGCTCTTGGTGCGTAAAGAA